AAATAAGTAAGCAAAACAAAAAGTATTATTTAGCAACAAAAAAACGAGTATTAGCTAAAAGAGAAATTTTAAAAATGCTACTTTTCTAAAATGTCATATTTTCAAAATCTTTGTAAAAATACCACTTTTTCAAAAACAAAATTTCATTAAATAATTTATGTTTGGGTTAACTATGTTTTATTAGGGTTTAGTTTTGAGAGTTTAATGGGTTTTAGGGGTCAAAACATTTTTTAGGGTTTATAATAAGATTTAGGTTTTAAAAAGCTATAATTAGTAGCATTTTTGCAAATAGACACCCCTAATTGGCATTCTTGCAAATATACACACCAAAATTGACATTTTTGTAATTACCCCTAGCTAAAAAGGCAAGAAAAAAATAAACAAGTAAACAAATAAAAGGCAAAGCAGCACAAGGCCGGCCAGAATTTAAGGGCAACAAGTAAAAAAAATTAGGCCAATAGTTATTGATTTTCTTAAAGGAAAATAAATATTAAACCAATTGATCAAATAGTGACTTTAACCCTTCACCTCTTCTTTATTTCATGTAGCCCATAAACCAATTGAAGTAAAGAAAATTTATGCATATTTTTTGGCTGATAATATATATAAACAAAATATCAAAAATTTTGGACCGCAAACATGGATTTGCCCCACTTGCCCTCAGAGCCGACCCTGGAAACACACAAGATTAAATCAATTAGATCATCAGATCATGGTAAGACAACAGACTAAGGTCGACAGCTAATTGACTTGTGATGCTTAAACACTCAATCAAGTTCAATCTTTTGATCAATTTACTGTTCGCCTAACTAAACTAAATTTATGTTTGCAATTAGGTAACTAATAAACATTAATCAGATTCATAAAGTTTTAATTTACTAATTAGCCTAATCATCAGTTTTCGAGTTTCTTTATTGGTTAGTTATGAAAAACTCAATTAGATTTTTACATTTTTACAAACACCTTCCGAACATCACAAAAACATGTTTTAAATTTTGATTGGCAACTTCAAAACTAACATTAAACAGATTTCAATTGAAAGAATAATGTAAATCTAACCTTAAAAATCATTAATCACTTAATCAACCAAACCTACAATCCATAAACAATACTACTCACACATGACTAAGGCAAAAACAAAAGTAATAATAAAAAAACAAAAACATTATTAAAAGAGATAAGAAAACTAGATCACAAAGATCTTCATTAGATTATGCAAAATGATGAAATATCCAAAAGCAAACTCATAACCAAGATTTGTGATCTGGAAAGGGTAAAAGAAGAATCAAACTTAACATTTTCAGAAGTCTAAAAACTATTTATGCTAACAAAAATCTAGACCGAATCGATTAGTTTTGAATCTGACTCGGATCTTCAAACTTTGACAAAACTAATATACGTAGAGATATTGGAAATAGATAAAATTGTAATTTTTACTACAAAGTACGCTTGGCTGATGCACATGATCAGGTTGTCTTGTTCAAATTCTTTAATTTAGTTTCATCATCTTCATCACTCCCTCTTGGTTGCTTCTTGTTTTCCTCCCAAATCTTAACATACTCTCTGTTTAGTCTCTTTAAAACTTTGTTTCTCTTGTTTTTGGTCTCTTCGCATTTGCATTTAGGCACATCTACGAATTTTGTTTTGCTTTCTTAAGTGGAATGGTGAATCAACGAAATGAAGATTTTTAAACATGTCAAAATAATGCAAATGCGAAGAGACCAAAAAAAAGAAAAACAAACCTCTAAAGAGACTAAACAGAGAGTATGTTGATGATCGTTAACAGAAAGTAATTATGTTTGTTGAAATAATTCACAAAAACTTGAGTTTTATTCCTTAATAAGAAGAAGTATTTATACACAATTATGTTTCTTTATTCGATATACTTAAATCTAAAGCCTTGGCCAATATTTGTATCTATACATCGTTATTACGATTTATAGTATGGAGTTTGAGCTCGACCACCGGTCCAACCTCCGTTGTCTTAACCACTAATCCAAAACTTTAAAAGATTTGGAACATAAAGCCGGATTGAAGTACTTGGACAGACGGAATTCTTCAAAACTCTTTAAGTAAATTTACAAGTCCCACCTAATTGGAATTATGCAATTTCAAGTAAACCCCTCGAATTATAACCATGCGCATCTAGTCTAACACAATCTTAACATTCAGAATCCCTCAACACTCCGCCTTATGGTCCTCTATACTCAAAAATCGAAAAAAAAAATTGTCAATAAATTTTCTTTATAATCATTAGTTACTCTAAGAAGTACATGGCATCGCTCAAGTCAGTCAACAGCATAATTAAAGCGTTACACAATTATATTTTTGTCTCCATATTTCTTGAATTTCTTTACACTATGGCAATGGCATGTGTGCATAGTGATCTCTTTGGTCTAAGAACATCAAAGATACATTATGTTTTAAACTAAGGGCTTCTAAGTGATAATATTATGTCTCTATGCTTGGATACATCATATGTTAGATATGATTTTGATACCTTATATAACATGATTACTCATTGAATGATATTAGAACAAAAATTGGCAGTAATTGTGTTGGATAAGAAATTCTAATCAAGAACCATATAAACATTATATCTTACCAATGGTACTTGTGATAAAGGCCGTGCCTCCTTTGTTGTTAAAGAGGCATTCGCTTCGGGACCCCAAATGATTTAGTGTAATTTAAGCCCCTATATTCTAAAGATTAATTGTAGTATAATGATAAAAATATGGTAAAAACAAATTTTGAAACTCTCATCCCAAATTCAAAGCCACTTCGATGCTAAAATAAGAGTTTGTTTTTTTTATCTCATTAACTTTTTATTGATATTTTAATAATCATCGGAAACTACATTATATTTGTGGTTAAAAAATCATATGTAAAAAAAATATTTTTAAATTCGCCTCGGGCCCATAGAAATCTAGGCACGACACTGATTGTGAATTAATAATATCAGGAATAATTCAAGTCGAATAAGTACATTTACGAGTTACAGAAAGAATAACTAAGGGAATGATTATGGGTGGTAAATAAGGGTAAATATAAGAGATTTTTAATATTATAAAATTTTTATATTTATCCAAACCATTTTTGGATTTCTAAGGGCATGATTATGGGTGGTAAATAAGGATAAATATAAGAGATTTTTAATATTATAAAATTTTTATATTTATCCAAATCATTTTTTGGTTTCTAAATATAGAATCTATATTACCCATATTTAGTGGGTAAATATAACA